TCGGTTTCGGTCGTAGTTTTGGCAGATTTGCCGCCGAAACCGAAACTGAACCGAAACCCGTTTTTTTGCCGAAACTCGACCGAAACCGAACTTTCGGTCGGGCACTAGTTCTTTTGTATGTGTTATATTGTTTGTAATTTCCATTTACTTATACAAATAAACATTTTGATTATATTTTTTTATGAAAAATGTCAATTCCACAAATCAAAAACAGTTGGAATTCTGTATTTGAAACAACTAAATACGAGTATGACTCTGTCAATTATGATATGACTCACCGTAATGTTCTCTTTCGGTTCTGGTAATTCTACACCAATTCTTGGCCCCAGCGTGAACTCTAGAATATAAATTCCCATAATATTGGCACACGTATAAATCAAGTAAAGAAAAAAGAAACATCTTAATGTGCTGCTCAGATCTAACGAACGAAAATACTCGCGTATAATTGATCGTCGGGAATCTTTCTCGGTCATGTTTCTGTCTAATGAACCTCAATTGGTATTTTACTTCCATTTCAATGTCTTCGTTTAACCCGATCATTCAATATCATCGTGAACCCAGTGACCACCAGACTGATATTGGAAACATTTCATTATCATTTATTTTTTAGATATGATGAAGTTCTTTGGAATTATTTTCATTAACGAGACCACTTAGTTACCAAAGAAAGATGAATCTTATTGAAACAACACTTTCAGTGAAGGATCTTAATATCTACAGGGTGGTGCCGGAAGTGGTACCAGTGTTATGTGAAGGAGTGATATTGTTAAAAAATTTTCTTTGTCAATTATGAGATGATATTTAATGAAACCATAGTTCATTTTCAGTTAGAAACCTATACTTTTCCAAAATATGTATTCTTTGTCTTTTTTAAGAAGTAGAATTATCGATTATCTCAAAACTTCATTTTTATTTGAAAGTGATTGACAATATTTCATAGTGAATTTTACTAGTTCGGACTTCCATTGTCTGATATGATTCTACTATTATTGCACATTTATGAAGGAACAAATTAAATTAAATTGAATAGCTGAAATATAAATAAAACATAAGCAGTAACACGTGAAATGAAAATACAACAAAATAAAATAATTAAGATGGAAGATGAAAATGAGCACAGTGTGAAAATAATGAAAAATAAAAATAAACAAGAATTAAAACATAAAAAAATGAACAATAAAAAAATTTAAATTAAATAAAAATGTAAAAAATATGAAAAGATTTCTTGGTTCGAAATCACTTTATATTTTTTATTTTTATTTTTGTTTCTCATTTATCAGGAATATAACAAACTTTATTCATCAAGAAAGTAATACAAATCATGAAATTTTGGAACAACAACAAAAATTGGCGCTCCGGGGCGACTTCATTGATTCCAATGGCTCATTTGCATTTTCAGCTGCAGGAAAACCTGGAAAAACCTGCAGCACCACATTATTTCAAGATTTTGATCTGAAAATGTCCTCTCTTTCATAGCACAAAGTGTAGGTTGTCTCCAAATGCTCCAATAAATTCAAAACATCGCCAGAACACTTCGTGACACGACTATCGTCAAAGTTATATCAGTCCGTTTCATCTTTGACCAATGCGTAGAAATGACTAGATTCGACGCCAGAACCACAGTAAACAATGGAGTTTTTGAAGTACACTAGATACTCATTAGGATAACACGAGGATTGTTCTGAATTCTTGGGGTTCTTTTTGAATACTCTTCGTGAGCAAAAAGATTGCAGAATCAATACTCCAGACCGCTCTAGATTGAATGATTCCGTACAGTCTTTGTCATCTTGTGTCTGTAGATCTTCAGCTGGAAAAATCCTCACTTGTTAACCTTGTAGTAAATGTTCCAGAGATAGCGAACACGTATGTGATTTTCTGGAACTACAACTAGCTTTCCTAATATGACTAATAACCAGTTCGTGCAAAGCTTATTGTTAAATCATCTTAAAATGGAACTTCTAACGGGTGATGATCAACTGTATTGCCAAACATTCGCAGAACTAACTGTCTATTATAAGAAAACAAGTATATCTAAGGCACCAGTCAATCTAATAATCACACTGATGATCTTCAAACATGACAACCTCTGACGGAAGCACCAGACTCTTACGAAGGTTCGAAATAGATGAACACTTCAATTTAGCAGACCACTATTATAATCTTCATGGAGTCATTGTTCACTGAGGTTCGGGCGTTGAATCTTAGTAGTTTCATTTATAATATAATATGAGGAACAGTTTTCCCAAAACTAGATTGAGGAATCAAATTTTAATTTTTTTATTGTTCTTTCGGTGTAAGTTATGTTTGAATGAATATCTATTTTCGAATATCAGTTGTAGTTGTCTACAAGTAACAAATTGGTTTATTTTCCACTTTGCAATCCATCACTACTCATTCTCACAACTTAAACATGATTTGAAAGATCAATATATGGTTATTTCTACCATTCCTCGAATGATATTTAGAACTGAATGTTCTGTTATTATTACATCCAAAAACTTGAAAGCCCTTCACGTTACTGAAGTCTCAAGAGAGACGTAATCACTAACATTATCCTGAATTATAAAAAAGTTGCTCGAAAAATATCCTATGGATATAATAATTACCTAAAAGATCATCCTCCATAAGTCTTTCATTATTTCTATGACCGAGTTCAAAAATGAAACTTTCTCAGAAGTAGTTAAAAAGTTAAAATATGCTCTTCTTATCTATGATTGTAACATAATCGTAATGTATATGTTTAAGGTTCGAGAACCGCCGAACAAAATTCGTTTTCTGTCAGTCGCTGCAGTTTTCACTGCAGTTGCCATCAGATCCCAAACATAGTTTTTGTGATTCAGCTGCTCTGTTAGACGCTACCATCAGAGACTTTGAAATGTTTGCCTTGCAGTGAAAGTTGGAGAAAGAGATAGATGACAAATCTCGTTCATCGGTCGATATCGAAGCTTGCTTTTGGGCTTGACTGAGTCTTCTGTCATAAGGTCTCTTCGTAAGAAGAGATATGAACGCCTACTCAAATTCAAGAGCGTGTCTATGAAGATAATTTTAAGTTACCGTCGATAGATATCTCTCGAATACTTTTACCATTAACGCTGGTGTTCCCCAAGGATCCATATTATCTCCAACCCTCTTTTTATTGTATATCAACGACTTATTGGAAAAAAACAAATATCCAATATATAGCTTTGCTGCTGACAGCAGTAGACCCCATTTGGATTCCAGGACATCGGCTGCAGCTGCACATCTTTACTGGCAGCAGGAGGTTACATATGTTAATGAGGATCTAGAGGTATTTCGAATTGGGGTGAAAGTAACTAGGTTCAATTCGGTACCACGGAGACCCAGGAATCGGTTTTCTCCAAGAAGATAAATGTCTTCGAACCCGACAATTTCGCTTTCTGCTTTGATAAATTTGTTGGTTTATAAAAAGGACACCAATATGTCTTGGCACAATCATGTCGTTGGAATGGCAAAAGCTGCTTCTCAAAAGCAGAAATACTCTTTCGAATCGAAAACTCAAACACCTCAGCAACTTTTAATGTTTTATAAAGCTCAGATCAGACCTTCTTTGGAGTATTGTTCTCATTTATATACAAACCATCTAAATCCCATACCGATTGGTCACATTACAAAGACATGCGTAATTTTACTACAGGTGCGATTCGCTGGGAAAAGAAAGCTTACCTGGACTTCACTTTGAGAAATAGTAACTCTAAAATGATCTGGAATACTCTCAAATTTCTGGATATTCTAAAATCCAAGAATAACCTTACCTTTCCACCACATTTGTCAAATTTGGATGAACTTAATACTCACTTTGTCAACATCAGTCACCCAACAAAAAACCATACTCATTTAACTCTTCTTGATAAGTAAAATCATAATTCTAATGGGCCAAGCTTCCATTTTACCACTATTACTCCTATCCAAACGCAACTCTACCTGGATCGTATCAAGAGTAATTGTGTTGGTTCAGACGGGATATCCATCAAAATGATCAGACTAGCCGAGAGCTTCCTAATAAACCACATTACCCACATTTTCAACACCGCAATTGAAACTAATACCTTTCCCACCCTCTGGAAAAGCAATAGTATTACCCTTGCCTAAATGTGACAATCCTACAGAATTCTCGCATGTATATATGTGTATATATGTATATATGTGAGCTAGATTATGTGTTTATGGTTATGTGTATGTTTGTTGGATTTGCTTATTATTTGATGGTTAGTTGTTAATATTATTTGCTATTTCATAGGTTTTTTTTTAATTTCATAAATACCTAGGTTAAGTTGAAAAACAGCATAAGCTGAACTTCGCCTTTCATCGATTGTTTTACTGTGTTTAATTTGTAATTATTCGATGAATAAAGCCGATTATTATTATTATTATTTATGGAGATCCGCCCCTAAGCATACCCTGGAGCTGCTGGATTCCATTCAGAAAAGAACCATTCGCCTGATTGCAACCTTGATAGTCTGGAACATCGAAGAAAGGTTGGATATTTGTCTCTCTTCAATAGTTACTTTAACGGGAGGTGTTCAAGTGACTTGGCACATTTGATTCCACCAAGAGCGGTACATATCAGAAATACGCGTCGGACTATGGCTGCTCATAGTTTTGAGGTTCACCTCAGTACATCTCGAACTTAAGAACTGCTTAAGAACTGTTTTATTTGGAGAACTGCGTGTATGTGGAATGAACCTCCTGAAAATGTTTTTCCAAATGAATTTAATCTCCACCAGTGGACTGTAGAGCTCTGGTTTGATATTATTCACTATTATAGTGAGAAATATTGAAAAGTTATAAGGTCTACATCAACGAGAGATGAATTGAAGTCATTTTAACTCATCTCAAGATGACGCCAATCTGGTTGCTGAAATGCAGTTCTGGTATGTAGAAGGAGTTGGAATAAAAGAGTCTTAGGTCAGTGTGGTCAAGTAAAAAAATAGTCGTGACTCAACAAGAATACTTGTTGAAAAATTAAAAATACACGTGGATACATTTTGATACTTTTATTTACAAAAACAACATACATATAATCGAATTTATGAAATTCGTATATTGTTTGAAATATTGACTTCGATTTCACTCGAGTTCAATAGCTCAAAATAAAAAAAATAATTTAAAAGGAAATCCTTATAAATAAATCACAGACTGGATTAGAGAAAAACTCTTTTATGTGTCTAAAACATAATTTGCCATTTTTCACTTATTTTACCATGAAAATGGAATAAAATTTGTCTTGAAACAAAGTGCAGTGTAATTGGTTACAGGGTCCATCAATTTGAATGTCATGATATGTGGAATCTGAAACAATTGGAAATATTGAAGATAAAGATATTTTGGATTGAATAAATGGATTTGTGTTTCCGCATAAAATATATCACTCAAGCTTGGTGGGCACAGTTGGTAAATTTTTTAATACTGGCCATACAAGAAAGTGTATACTCGTTAGTACCTATTCGAGAAAAAAATTAAACAATGTATTTCTGAATTTTCCTGGAACGCATACGATATTTTTTTAACTTAAAAATAAGTGTTGAATCTGAATAATATATTTATGATGGAACAAAAATCAACTGTATTTTCACCGAATACTTAGATAAATCACAACTTGAGCTACCAAAGACAAGCATTGAATCCTCTTGGTTCATTTGCCTGTCAATGGATAGACCAGCGTGCTGAAAACCAGCTTATAATCCATTATTTAATGTATTATGCCATTTCTCACCAGTGAAAGCAAGTTGAATTTCATTGACACCTTGTATTGTATATTCTCCTGTTTCACCAAAGGACAGAAAGTATTCAATATTCCCAGGCATCCATCGCGTTGTTCGGAATCCACTGGGATATTCTCTTCTCCAAAGATGCTTTTCACTTTCAACACTGGAGTGATTCTTTCCAGATAGCAAGCTAGAATGAAAGATCAAACTGGAAATTCGGGCGTAGAATTAATCCGAAACAAGCACTTCTCCTAATCATCGGAACTGCAGAAATTGAGATATGGAAAAAAAACACGCGTCGAGAAGAATAATGGAGTTTTAGTGATTGGGAGAAATTCTTGTTTTGGAAGCAGCTGAAGTGTCAAAAATAGGATTCGTGTATCATTAAAATACATCATTCTATCATACAGTTTAGGGAATGAAAATATGTTTTCGGGTGAGTACCAGACTACGAAAAAGAAATATTTTTCGAAATCTTCTTAAGGTCACCTTAAATATACCGATGTATGTGGTCCAAATATCTACTTGAAACGTTAACAAAGAAGATGGATGTTTTTTAAATTTCTGAAATGATGCCACGGTTTTTTGCTGGCAAGTGATAATCTCATAATGAAAGGTCATTCAAGTACATCACAATGGACCATTAAAATTTCAGTCATACAGGGCTTTTCATGATGAGCGTTAATTAGCCGTTTCTGACAAACTATTTAACGGATCAACCTGAAAATTTCACAGTATGCATAAATCAATATGACCTACACGCCTAAAATATTTTAGACGAAGCGGCGTTGTCGCTTCTACTATAAAGTAGCGGCTTCTCTGATTTTTCAAATGGAAAACCCCGTATATAATATCATATTATGATTCATTATCACTTTGTCAACAAATTCATATACTATTTCCCTATACCTATCTATTACCGTTTAGATATAAATTAATTTCGACATTTTTTTTACCAAACATGAACTTTTATAAATGCTGATAATCTTGAACTCTCTTGCACTAAAACGATAAAATTTGAAATGGACTGGAGTGATACTATGAGGATCTTCACTCCGAGCCATATTTTCATTTGCCTCATACAGGGTCTTCAAAAAATGCAGATACTTTGATCTCATGAAAAAATGAGTGGAACTCAATTTTTTCAAATGGAACACCCTGTATATTTCAACATTTTTGAGCTCTACATCCAATTTTAGATTAACTTTGTTCAGATAATACTATTTCTATTTTGAACCGTTTTCGAGATAAACTGTTTCAAACGGAAACTGACGTGGTTTTCTTGCTCGTTTTTTTGAATTCATCACTTATTTTGGATATTCAACATTTTTTTTATACTCAGTAATATTTCTTTTTGATCCAGTTTTTTAACTGTCTCAGATCAGTCAATTCGAAATTGGTATGTGCCTATCTTAGAAAACGTTACAATTTGTATACATTGAGGTATTGGTCTCTAACGTACAACAGTACACATTAATATTTTTTAATAGTGTGCTTTGGAAAAATAAATAAACCAATTATTCAACGTCAGACTTTCGTTGGTGGTTTTGAGTGATTGTGATAGCTACCAATTCTAATAGAATAATGTCAAGATTAGGTTACAGTAATGAAGATTTCTTGAATTTATTGAATAATTTATGGTGAGTGCAAAAGAATTGCAAGTAGAACATCGACTACTAAAAAACTGTAGGTTGAATGGAACCTTCCGTCCAAAAATAATTCGTAAGAAGACTAAAGTGGATGATGATGACAATGGTATAACAAGAATTTGTTGACAAAGTGATAATGAATCATAATATGATATTATATACGGGGTTTTCCATTTGAAAAATCAAAGAAGCCGCTACTTTATAGTAGAAGCGACAACGCCGCTTCGTCTAAAATATTTTAGGCGTGTAAGTCATATTGACTTATGCATATTGTGAAATTTTTAGGTTGATCCGTTAAATAGTTTGTCAGAAACGGCTAATTAACGCTCATCATGAAAAGCCCTGTATATGTCTTTTAAATTGGTTAAGGCTTTGCCGTGATTTTCAGTGCTACTATCTTCATTCGGATTTGAAGATAGTATAACACTGATATATGTCTTTGTCTGTCAAAACATTCAAAAAAATGACTGTTCTGGATAATCTTTAAAAATATTTTCAACCACGATTCCTCTACATGTGTGATAACTTTTCACTTTAGACACATTCACCTACAGATTCTCCGCCCCTTATCATTATTGTCTGGAGGTCAACTTTCTATTTATAATTCATAAATAATAAACAGTGTATTCTCTCAAAGGTTGTTCGACCCGAGTTCTGAATGAATGGTAATTCTCATCCGTATGAATCACAATGGAGATAGATATAGCCATTTTTCTTAGCTGGTTTTCTGGAAAAGTATCTCAATTCCAGATAGGTTGATAGATAAATATTCTTGACTGGAATCTCGAAAGCAATGAAGATATATTCTATAAGTTCATCATAATAATTTAGAATATTTCAGTCGATATCTTTCAGTCTATCACGATCACTTTGAATTGGTAAGTGAGTTAAATACTTTCTCTACATGAAAATTCATGAATCTTTGGTAAGAACATATGACAATTATAAATGAAATTTCATTATTCAATCACAATAACTGGAGGCGGGTTGACTGTCCTTGTTCATCTTCCACTGCCTGAACCACTGTGCATGCTGTTTTTTGCCGCGTGCATTGGCTGGGGATCTGGGTGTTGAGCAAACTTGCCATCGGATGCCTGCTTCCACGTAGCCCCGCTGGATACGGGAATGACAGAATCACTCATATGGGAAGGTTGTCGCAGGTATTAAGGTGGAAATCTTGCACCTTGACTATCCGACCACCTCATCAACGATGAAACAGCAGAGCATATACTCTTACCATCTGACATGAAACAACACTCAACATACAAACTAATCGGCTTCTTTAAGAAGCTGGGTTTATTTGGTCGAGTGTGAATAGGTGTGAGCCACAATAAACCCTTGCGAGTTGCGGTGGAGGGTCAAATAGACCCACTCACGTTGGACCTAACCTAACCTTACAATAACTGGAATTTCTATAATTTCTGGATGCCGAAAAGTATCTAGTAAATCTGGTATCATGCTGATTTCAATTGATTCTGTATAATCACAATTCAGGACTATTAAAAAACACACGATTGTTGTACACGCTGCTGCTAGATTTTTTTGGCTAATCGTCAATGGTTGCTGAATATTTTTGGAGGGCAAATACCGAAGTTAGGAAATACCATTTACGATAATCTCTGCAACTGACACCTGGATTAGGTCTTCATTCTTCATGAATCGGTTATTCATAATCCAATGAATGTCAATGCATGTCACGAATCAGAAAAAAAAGCTTCGACTTGGAAAAATACGACAATGTAAACTTTATAATCCGAATAATAGGAGGTAACCATTAAAAAGTAATGAGAACGAAACGGTGCGACTACTGCTTCCAACGAACTCCAAATCAAATACTTATTTCATTTATGCAATTCACCAAAAAATTGGTAGGTAGATTGGTCTGAAATCTATTTGACCCTTCATTGAAACCCTGAGAGTTCATTGTGGCTCGTACCTATTCGAACTCGATCAAATGAATCTAGCTTCCTAATGAAACCGATTACTTCATTTGGTGACATATCTTTCAGGTTAGCTGGCAAAAGAGGGACTCTGCCAAACTGCTGAAACTTAAACCCGTACATGATAAGCACAGAATATATGTTTAGCGGTTAGTCTGCCTACCCTCATCAGGTAGCTACAAATGTATGGCTTGTGAAATAGGTCTCTTGTGACGCTTCTCAGCAATGCCCGCAGCAATCTTTAAAGATGAGGGCATCTGTGAGTCAGCTATACCCTCCAAAATATAGTTTTCAGACATGCAGAGCTTCTTCGCTTCCGATTTGGTTGAATCATCGTTTGTTTTGATGACCTACTCCGGGGGAGTTTGTTTTCTCATCTGTTGTTGCCCAAGAAATTGAAGCGACTGAGATTCATAAGATATCTGGCTCTTGGGGAGGCAATAAGTCCCTTCTTTGCTCCACCAACTAGCATCCTAGGTTTGTTAACAGGTTCAAAAGCTGAAGAACTCTGGCATTTTTTGTTTAGATGTTACAAGGGCAGTTGAAGTCATTTAGTTCACCTCCACATGTCTTCGGTAGACTCAGGGATGGAGTCTTTGGTTACTTCATGGTCTATAAAGGGTGCCACGAGTATAACTAAGGGAAGTAGGTCCATCACGACAAAGCCTTGCATTATCGTAACACGTCTTTTTGAGACGAGGGAGCGCCCGGTATCTTGAAGGTTTTGTTAATTATACTTAGTAGGAATAGGAATACTGAGGAATAGGTATTCGAGATTGATCGGAGCAATAAGTGAAAGTTATTAACTTTATCGATAGAGAAATGAATGAATTGAAAGAGGTATATTTCTGGAGGAATTAATTTTTCGGAGAGAAAGTATTTGGCTTTCTGATTCTCCATGTTTATACAGAAAAAAATTGTCCAGAAATGTTACTGCGTTTGAGGTATGGACTGAGGCAAATATTGTTGAATAATTGCCTAGTATCAAGGTTATTAGAGTTGAGAGGGTCATATTTTTTACCATGTTCTGAGGCGCTCCTCAGAAAGTGAAAGTAAATATGAAATGTTGAGTACTTACGGGCATTAAAACTCATGCTTATGGTCACTTCCTGATTATTCTTGATTTTACATAGACTGTCGGTTTTGGAACAATTTGTAATTGAAACACTGGCTGGCATTGCATTATGATCCTCACCTGTATAATGATAAAATATTGTATAAATGCTCAGAACGTACGCCGAAAGATTGTATCTAGGAAAAGTTTGCCCGAAGATAAAATTTTGAAAATGATGGGATTGCATTTCAGGCGTTTTCATCAATTGAAATTGGTGTAGGAGGGATATATGTAGGTGTTATTTTAAAAAAATTCATTTTGTCAGTTTGTCACAATTTTATTTTTCAATTGAAATTTCAAAATCTTGACTACCGAAAATTATAATTACCTGTCAAAACTACTGCTGCTGACAGTGCTTGTCATTAGCCCCGATTTGTGTTTATTTTAATCGTTAGGGCCAGTGCATCAACTGCTGTGAGACTCTGTATAAACGGCTTAGCCCTCAAATTTTTCATCGTTTTTAATGCTTTGAAGAAAATGAGAGTGATTTTATTCTGTTTCTCTTGAAAAATAATACAATTCATTTTGTTTATGTTTAAAATAATACTTCATTTCCATTAAGACACTATAAAGTTGAAGAAAACAGATATTCTTTCAGTGTTGTTTTTTAATCATACAGTTGCTGTGAAGCCTAACATATTCAGGAAAACTATTGTAACGTTTTGGAATAATGTAGGTATTCTGGCTCATAATAAGTCACTTTCAATTTCGCAATTGGTACATTGAACTGGTTTTTGACTCACGTATCGTGGTGGTGAATACTATTGTTTAATGTGAAATTTGACTTATTTTCAATAACATATTAACACATTTCAAATATATACCGTTTACAGAAATCTCTTTGGGAAATATTTACGTTCAATGCATTTTTGTACAACGAAAAAGTTTTATGCTGAAGTTGACCCTCCCAAGAAACAAACACCTTACCTAATTCTAAAGTCTGCATCTGCATAGTATATACTAATTAACTGAGCTCTAGTCAAAATGGATCTTGAATTAATGAAAAGAAACTTCAGGGAATTGAGTTTGGATATCAGATGTTGGCAATGACTATTCCAATTCAAGAATTCATCCAGATAAATACCTGAAAACTTTGAACTACTATCATCACTTTTTGAAGTTATATTAATTACATTGAAAAAAAAAATTATATTTGATTTAATGCTTTTGAAAATTTATTTTCTAAAACTGAGTATTAGGTGCAGAGAAAATCAATGTAAAATCGTCAGCATAGGCTGTATAACCACTGTCTAAAATCATAAATTCAATGCTGTTTACATAGAGAATAAAGAAAATAGGACCTAATATGGAGCCCTATGGTACACCCATTGTCATGTTCCTACGTTCAGGGTTAAATTTGAAGGTACTATTATTTTTCGTCATTTGCATTGACACAAATTGATTCCGGTTTGAAAATAATCTTTCTTTTTCCTTTTACACAATTATATATTCACTAAGTAGTAGTTTTTTCAGAATATTTTCTAGACTATCTGACATGTACTTTTGAGGTCGATTTACGTTCGAACCAGAAGTTTCAATAAGTCCTTCAATGTTTTGAGAACACTAGCTGATTTGAGTTATTGACTTTTTTCGCAAATATACTTACATTCAGTGATGGTGACACTGCCAACAGCACTCGTTGTGGCGATGATGGCAAGTATTATTTTAACTGAAGTACTCATTATGTCTTTGAAGCTTGTTTGAAATATAACTAATGGTCTATTTTCAAATTCAAGATTGCTTATATATACTTACCTGCACCAAGGACTCTTTTTTTAATGACGTTATCATATTATCTTTGTGAATTATGTGTATCAGAAGATACTTGATAGACCCGAGTTTTGAGAAATGATATCGTTATAATTAATTGTATACGAGTGTTTCTTCCAAAAACCAGTCTGGGAACCAAATCTTTTGAAATAATGTTAACCCTGCGTCCGACATGTGGACTTCTGTAACATTTGTAGACATGTGGGGTGTGAGACCCCAATATGATTTTTCTGTTTATATTAACATTTTTTTGGATTTTAACATTGTTGTTATGAGAATTCTGTACTGTAATATCTCTTTTTGCAATAAAATAATTTTCGATTTACCAAAACGATAAAACAATCGTTATATTCTGTCTTTACCAAAACAATGGGTTCTTTTAGTGGAAAAATACTGATTTACTTGAAAATGTCTTTTGCACATAAAACAACTGAATAAATATCAAATTGCTGGGTCAAACAGATAATAAATCATCATAAAATGGAAATAAAAAAATATTATCGAAAATCATAAAAAAAAAAGTTTCAGGTCATCAATATTTGCCATTTCTACGCAAGATTTGCAGTTCATTTCTGCATGGTCCAGACATACGTCAGACGACGACAGATTTGAGATGTGAATACGAGAGAGGAGGCTATATGCAGAAGCTACTGTATATATCCGTTGCTGGGACGCCATTTTCGAAAAGTTATATGATATTTTCTACGGCTGGAGTATGTCACATCCCACGTGTCGGAAGCAGGGTTGAAACTTGGTGTGTAGGCCTTTCATGGTCGATGTGTTTTCTGAAGCACGAAACACAAGCACTACAGGAAAATCCTCAAGGTGCTGTGCGAAAGAAGCGATTCACATTGGATTCGAATCGCGGTTTGCAGACATTTATCCTTTTGTAGAAAACCGATGCCTTGGTTTTTGTAGCATTGAATTGAACGTGGTTACTTCCAACCCAATTAGAAATCACATCTAGATCCTCATATGCAACCTCCTGCTGCCAGTGAAGATGTGCATCCGCAGCCGATGTCCTGGAATCCAAATGGAATGACGAGACAAGTGTGCTGTCGTCAGCAAAGCAATACATTTGATTCTTGGTTTCTTCCAATAAGTTGCTGATATACAATTAAAAGTGGGTTGAGGACAATATGGATCCCTGGGGAACACCAGCGTTGTAGTGAAAGTATTCGAAAGATATTCATTGACGACCACTTGCAGGAAACCACTCTTTAAAAAAGTTGGTGAACCATACACAAAAATGATCCAACAAGCCATAGCATCGAAGTTTGGGCAGCAAACCCTCACGCCAGACATAGTCAAAGGCCTTAGAAATATCAAGCGCAACAGCTCTTGACTCTCCATGTTTCTCGATGGCGTTATTTTCAATATGAGTACCATAAGAAGGTCATTTGTTGATCTTTGTTTCCGAAAGCCATAATGATGATTGCCTTTTAAATATTTAAGGGTATGGTGGTTTACGACTTTCTCCATGAATTTGGATATCGCTGATAGCAAAGCGTAGTTATTTGAAAACATTTTTTTGCTCCTTACGGGAGGCTGACCGTGAGCAATCTTCCAGAAAGAAGAAAAATCCCTTCCATATAAGTTTGAAACGTCTGCAAAATACTGGTGCGAGTTCATTGGCATACTTTGGAGAACCTGGAGAATTTTTCTTCTAACAATACCAATGCGAATATTCAAAAACAGAAAATATCGAATGGTAACTTCAGATATGAATTAATAAGAGAGAACGGTTATTAGGTTGATGAGAACAGTAACAGTAACAGTCTATTGAACACTTTCCCAACACCAGAATGAAAATTACGGTCTCTTGACGCACGTTTCGCTAACCACGTTAGCGTCCTCAGGACATTGCTAACTTGGTTAGCGAAAGAGTGTTTTCAACAGGTTCAATTTACGACAGATATTCCAGTACGAACTATCAAACAGTAGCCTTAACAATGTCCGCTACAGTAACAGTAATAGTAACGGTAACGAAGACAATACCCACTAACAGCAATATCAACAATAACAGTAACTGTGGATTGTCTTTCTATATGAACCAAGGAGGGTTTTCTAAATTTTCAGATTGTCTTGAAATTAACTACATAAAGAAATCTGAAAGAGGATTCTGAGATTTATTCTGTATTCCATCGGCACTGCAACAGAAATATATTAGTCAAGCTCCCGTCTTTTTTGTTCTTATTATTCTGTAGACGCCAATTTGATTGGAGAAACTCTCATCGAAATAAGGTTTCGGTTCAGGTGTATGGTGTATTGAAAAATTTGAAGTACTTTCCTACAGTGATTTCTTCTGGTGGTCTGGTTTCTATTAGAAATAGATGATTCAGTACTCATGTACTGGAACTGCTCATTGAGTGTATTAGATAACATTGTTCATCATCAATTCGAAGTAAATAATATTTACTATTCAAAAATATCTAGTATCTTATCTCTAATACTCATGACACCTTTGAACCTACCTAATGGTAGCAGTAATAGTGACGGCAACGATTACAAGACCGACTAACAGCAATATCAACAATGACAGTGACTGTGAATTGTCTTTCTATATGAACCAGGAAAGGTTTTAACAAATTTTCAGAAAATTGACTTGGAATTGACTACCCGTGAGTTGGGCTACCTATCGGGCGCGTCTCCAGGTGGCGGATAGGGGAACAGCCAGGGGACTGGAGGCCCTGTTCGAAAAGTCAATGTGGCCTTACGGACGGGGTCGCCGGACTCCTGGTTAGTGGCAGAAATAAGTAGGGTGAGGGGAACTAAAACCCCCCAAAAGTCTTTGCAAAATATGCTACCGTGGACCAGCCTACCCAAGGTAAGGTGTAAGGAATCGTGCTGACAGCTGAATGGCCGCAGGGTGATACGCGGTCACAAGCGATCCCCTTGGGGAACTGGGCGAAACCTCATTGTAATTAGCCTACCTTTGGTAATGCTAGGCTCTGCCAGAGATGACCTCGTGGCTATTCGTGGGAGCACACATGAATGAAACAACAGAAACAACAAAAACAAAAACCTATACCGAAGCTGGACAGAAGTGCTCACCTCAATCTAAGGCGGTGGCTGGAGATGAACAGCTTGGAATGGGGCCGGACATAGCAGTTCACCTCCAACAGCAAGGGCACTTCCTGCGGCGGGCGCCAAAAGCTCCGCCTAGAATAAAGGCAAGGAACTGTCTGCCCCTGCAGGAAAGCTCCCTCACTTGTCCACCTCCACGGAGGGAACCCCAAGAAGAGAACCCCAAGAAGGTTGAAGAAGCCGCGCAACGACAGTAATATCGCTGCACCTTCCAAAACCATCACGGAGGCCACCGTGAGACACATCAAGGTTGCCAAAGAGTTTGTGTTCGGCGAGTCTTGGCTTACATCTGCCAATATTAAGGAGATGGCTTCTAGTGACTTGTTCACCTTCCCGGAAAAGACAGGATGGACGATGACCTAGGAGGACAACTCCTCGGGAGGACAATGGGTCAATGTGGCCTAAGTGCTGTGAGCCTACACTCACCCTCCCTACTCTACAGATACTAGAACTACATAAAGAAATCTGATAGAGAATTCTGAGATATACTCTATAATCCATCGGCACTGCAACAGAAACATATAAGTCAGGTACCGTCTTATTTGTTCATATTATTCTGTAGACCCCAATTTGATTGGAAAAACTTTCAACGAAATAAGTTTTCAGTTCAGGTGAATGGGAGAATTATTTGTGTTGAAAAATTTGGAGTACTTTCCGACAGTGATATCTTCTGGTAGTCTTCAACAATTAATTTCTATTAGAAATAGGTGATTCAGTGCTCATGTACTGGAACTGCTCATTGAGTGGATCAGATAAAAATGTTCGTCATCAATTCGAACGTAAATGATATTTGCAATTCAAAAAAAATCAATTTTTTATCTCGAACACGTATGAACTTACCTAATGGTGCAGTAATAGTAACGGCAACGATAAAAATAACCACTAACAGCAATATCAACAATAACAGTACCTGTGAATTGTCTTTCTATATGAACAAAGACGGTTTGATCGAATTTTCAGAAAATTATCTTGGAAAGACATCTTAAAAAGAATTCTGAGATTCATTCAATAATCCATCGGCATTGCAACAGAAATATATTAGTCAGGTCCCGTCCTATCTGTTCATATTATCTCCACCATTCAAGTAATATGCATCAGAAATTTCAGACAAAGATTTGGAAAGAATGGAGTTTATCAAATGACGAGAAATGTTATAAGAGGAAAGAAATGCTGGCAGTGAGAGGGATGAGGCTAAATGAATACCTAAACCACCAGAGTTAACTGGGAGAATAGCTTGACTCCAAGTGATATCTTCGAATTTATTATTGGTAATTTTTTGTAAAGATTGGCGTAAGGTGGAATCGAATTCTTGTAACTCCTTTTGACATATCCAAGTTGGACTGTATCTCAAGGTATACAATAATTTGGGAATTGCCAGACAGTATTTCAATAGAAAATATGCTATATAGGAAGGAATACTATTGAGACGAGATGACAGTAGAATTAGAGACTCTATTTTCTGTGTGAGGCAACGTGTTGAAGACTCTACAGAGAGAGGAGCTCCCAGTAAAGACCAGTGTGTTTTGGGGACAATTTTAATTTGTGGAGACATTATTGTGAAAGGATTAGTAAGCATATGAACAGGGGCAAAAATTTCACATTTTTCGAGATTCAATTCAAGTCCAACATCATTAGAGAGATGACTTAGTTTTTGAAATTCTTGGAGAACAGAATCTATATTACCATCAATTGAACCATCGTCTAGGTACCAGCAATTAAAATTGGTGTTGATAGACTTTGTTGGTATTATCTTATAGATGCCAATTTGATTTTTTTTAAGGACAAAACACAAGCACCACAGGAAAATCCTCAAGGAACTCCAAGAGCGGTGCCTGTGCGAAAGTAGCGATTCACTTGGACACTTCCC